GTTCACGGTCGAGTCGCAGCTGGCCTGTGGAAGCAAGCAGGGCAACACCCTGAGGGCCTTGGTTGCGAGCAAGGAGGGCACCTTCAAGCGGCGCAGAGCCCCTTGAGATGGATGCGACGCAAGAAGTTCTTCAAGGAGGCTGGAGCCTTGGAGAATATCATCACTGGCAGCTGCTGGACTGCCCAGCGCATTTTCACTGCGGGCTACGAATGTCCAGCCTCGTGCCCGCGTTGTGGGCAAGCAGCTGAGGACTTGCTGCACAGGTGCTACCAATGTACAAAAATGATGATATCGACCGCGACCGGATCCGCCGTGCCCAGGACCTGTGCGCCAGGGCCGCCCAGTCCATCAGCTAAGAGCCTGACGTGAAGATGTTTTGGTGCCGAGGTATCCTGCCCGCCAGACTCAACATGGTTCCAGAGGCCCCTGACTGGCATGCAACCCAACCAGTTTTCGATGTCGACATGAACGTACCTGTCCCCGAGTTCGAGTCCTACACCAGCATCGTCGGTACCCCGATCCAGGCCTTCGGGGCCTACCTCGACGGCTCGGTCAACTCTGCAGATGCTCGTGTCGCCCGTGGAGGTTGGGGGGTTGCGTTCGACTTCAACGATTTTCCTGTAGAAGATCGGTTTTCTGGACTCTACGGTCCCATACACGGCCTACAAACGGTTCCGAGTGCTGAGCTTGCGGCGCTCTACTACTGCCTCCTCTGCACCCAGGGGCCCCTCGAGATCTGGACTGATAACGCTCTGGTCTTTCGCGGCTGGAACTCCAGGTTGTGGCTCTACCCTCGAGGCCCCCACAAGCAATGATGGCAGCGTATCAAGCAGGCTATCCTCCAGATGCCCGACAGGATCTCCAACGTCCGCGTGAAGAAGTGCAACTCTCACCTAGACGATGTGAGCCTCCGTCTTGCCTCTCAGCCATGGTATGTGTCCTTAGGTAATGAACGAGCCGACGCTCTGGCCCAGAGAGGCCTCGCGAAGGCCCTGAACCTTATCCAGCCTCAATTAGATTCTTTGAAGGACTATGAAGCTCTCCTGCAACGGGTCCACAAGCGTCTTGCGGCAGTTGCCTCGGCTGTTAACTCGTTGCCACGGGTCAAGCACCAGCGTCCTCGGGTTGCGAAGAACCGCGAGAGGCCAGTGAAGATAGTCGCGTTTCGTCGTGGGATCGAGCCTGCCACGGGCCACTGCATGCAGCCGCACCCGAAGGACAAAACACGCTGGTTTTGTTTTCATTGTAAGCTGGGCCCGACACGAGAGGCCGTTGAGAGCTGGATGCAAGCACACCCGTGCAAAGGAATAACTTCAGTTTCATGTTATAACGTGCCCCTGCCGATTCCGCCCTCCGCATTCCCCTCTCTTACAGTCGGAGGTAAGACCGTGCACCCGACCCATTCGCTGCACATGATGAATGGCCAACTTTGGTGCACGAAGTGTGCGAGGCCCGGCAGTCGCACGAGCACTGGAGGTGGCAGGCTTAACCAACTCCCCGTCCCTTGTCCAGGTGGTGTGGGCACCCACAGTGGTAGGGAGGCCTTGCGTAGGTTGGCCAATTGTCTGCCCCCGAATGTTTCGGCCAAGGTCTGGCCCTCAGGGGAGCCCATAATGCCCCTCAAAGCCTGCAAAGCCAAGCGAACACGCCCGAAGTAAGGGTCGGTCACAAGGGCCGCGGCGTGTCTTAGGCCACGACCGCGCCCCCTCGGTGGGCCGATCCTCTTCCCCCTCCTCCTCCTCCCCCTCTTCTCCCTCCTTCCCTTCCTGCTTCCCCTCTTCTTCTTCTTCCTCCTCCTCCTCCTTTTTCCTTATGCTCGTCTCCTCCTCCTACTCCTCCTCCTCCTCCTCCTCCTCCTCCTCCTCTCCCGCTTCCTCCTAGCTGTGCGCATGTCCATGGGCGTCCCCGGCCTCATGGAGCCGTTTGAGTACAAGGGGCACTACTACTGCGACGGTGAGGGACAGTAAGAGGAGGGAGCTGGAGAAGGGGGAGGGGGGGGGGGGGGGGGGGGGGAGTATCATGAGGATGAACACGCGGATTAGGAGTATGATGATGCTTCTGCTGCTGATGCTGATGGTGGTGGTGGTGGTGGTGACGCTGCTGATGATGTTGCTGCTGCTGCTGCTGATGATGATGATGATTCTGATGATCATGACGGTGATGATGGTGATGATTATGATTATGATGATGACGATGACGATGCTGATGATGATGATGATGATGATGATGATGATGATGATGATGATGATAATAATGATGCTGTGGATGATGACGAGTATGAAGATTATGATGATGATGCTGATTATGATGATGACGATGATGATGATGATGATGATGATGATGATGATGATGATGATGATGATGATGATGATGATGTTGATGATGATGCTGATGCTGCTGATGATGGATGATGATGGTGCTGATGATGATGATGATGATGATGATGATGACTAGCCGGTCGCTCTGCGGTTGATCGGGAGTTTTGTATATAGAAGAAGGGGCGTGTGCTTCTCAGCGAAATGAAAGTTATCGAGATGAGAACGAGCGTGAGGATCAGGAGGGCGATGTTCGCGAGGGGGAGGATCAGGAGAGTGAGGGTCACGCGGGTGAGGATCAGGCGAGCGTTGAGCAGGAGGGTGAGGATGTGGAGAAGGAGGGCCAGAAGAGCGAGGATGGCGAGAATGAAAATCAGGAGGGTCAGGATCATGCGGGTGTGGCGCCCCCCGCTGCCATGCTGGCAATCTCCACCTCCTCCTCTTCCTCCTCTGCCTCCTCCAACTCCCCTCCTCTGCCTCCTCCAACTCCCTTCGTCCTCCTCCACCTCCTCCTCCTCCTGCTCCTCCTCTTCCTCCTCCTCCTCCTCCTCCTCCTCCTCCTCCTCCTCCTCCTCCTCCTCCTCCTCCTCCTCCCTCTCCTCCTTTTCCTCCTCGTCCCCTCTCAGAAGAACTGGCCCTCAGAGGCCCCCCTGTTCGAACAGGGGGGCCTCTGAGGGCAGGTTTTGCTGAGGATGTCCCATGCGAGGGCGCGGGTTTGGAATTCGTCGCCAGATTCACGGGATCTCCCGGATGTCCGCGGAAACGGAACGGGCGGGGCCTCTGAGGGCCTCCATGGGGGAGGCTCCGGGGCCAGTTTTTCGTGAGGCTGTCGCACGCGACGAGGGCGCCGGTTTGGAATTCGTCGCCAGATGCGCTGGATTTCCCGGATCTCGCCAGAAACGGAACATGGCGGCCTGCCTCCATGGGGAGGCTCCGGGGGCCGGTTTTTTCTCAGGATGTCCCACGCGAGGGCGCCGGTTTGGAATTCAACACTGGAGGGAGGGAGGGAGGGAGAGGGAGGGAGGGAGGGGGGGGGGGAGGGAGGGGGGAGGGAGGAGGGAGAGGAGAGGGAGAGGGAGAGGGAGAGGGAGGGAGAGGGAGGGAGGGAGGAGGAGGAGGAGGAGGAAAGGAGGAGGATGAGGAGGAGGATGGGGGAGGAGGAGGGGGATGAGGAGAGGAGGAGGAGGAGGAGGAGGAGGCGGAGGAAGAGGAGGGCGGAGGAGGGGGAGGGGAGGGGGAGGAGGACAAGCTAGGTGCGCTCGCGTCATATCTGACGTCCTGCCCCTCCCTCCCGTCCCTTACCATTTCGTAGATCTCCTCTCTTCTCGCGCAGTCGGATGTCGTCGCCGGGCATCGCATTACATGGCATATCATGGTGTTGAAAATCAACGCGTAGCCTGACATAGCATGGCGTGGCGACGCCCCAAAGTGGGGTGGGCTTCTGCGGCCCAACAAGAATCAACGAGTCGGCACCGAATATGTAATCACTTCCGATGCTTGTTTCCGGCGGGCATTTTTTTGATTTTGGAGCCTATTTGGAAGGACCGAAAACCATGCCGTGGCATGGGGCTGGAAATAATGACGCCAGCGCTGCAGCGGGATCACGATTCGGAACGAGCGGAAGCGTGGAAATGAGGCCAGCGCTGTAGCGGGAGCACGATTCGGAACGACGGGTAGCCCGAAAATGAAGCCAGCGCTTCAGCGAGAGCAGCATTTTGAAAAAAACCCAAGCGAAAACCCGTTTCCCGGGAATCTTGTGTAACAACCCAGTACGCGGAGGGGGGCCGGACATTGCCCGGACGTCACCGGGGAGGGGAGAGAGGAGAGTAGTATTCATATTGTGTAATTGTCGAAGAGGAGGAGGAGAAGGAAGGAAAGAAGGAAGGAAGGAAGGAAGGAAGGAAGGAAGGAAGGGAGGAGGAGGAGGAGGAGGAGGAGGAGGAGGAGGAGGAGGAGGAGGAGGAGGAGGAGGAGGAGTAGGAGGAGAACCTGTGAAGATGAGGTGGCATGTGCAATGACTTTCCAATGAATGCTCTGCCCGACGACGGCCACCGCCTCGGCCTCATGATCCGGCCGCTCGACTGGATAGAGTACAACTACGGAGGTCTACAGACTGGCAGAGCTTTGGGTTTCGCACAGACATCTCCCTGATGTAGTCCCAGCTGGCCTCAACGGTCAGGAGGGAAAGAAACACACACAGACACAAGTAATCGGCGATTCCCCAGAAAATATGGGAAAATATGGGAAGTGGGGGAGAAGACAAAACCCCAGAAAATATAAGAAAATGGGGAATCTTTTTATTTGTGTTTATCTACTTGTGTGTCCCAGGGCCCCTTCAAACAGGCCACCCGGGTAGTCCTGGGGCGGTCTCAGCACCCCAGCGCCGCCTCTTCGGCGGCGCCCCGGGCGCTCCCAACTCCTGTTTTGGGGTGTCGAGACCGCCCATGACTACTCGGGGGGGCCCGTTGACACTGCGGAGGCCAGCCTGGACTGCCTCGGGGGGCTTCCTGTGCGCACCCCCAAGCCCTGCCAACGCAGACACTCGTGGAGCAGGAGCCGCTTCGAAGTGCAGTGGCGAAGTTTCCCAAGATATGCGAGTACCTGAAGGAGTACAGGACGAAAACCAAGGACGGCCTCTTCTCCGTGAAACGGCCTCTCGACTTGGCGCTGACGTCGGTGACAGTGATGATGGACGCGAACCTTATGCTGCAGGTGATTCATGGAGTGGTAGGAGGAGGAGGAGGAGGAGGGGGAGGAGGAGGAAGAGGGGGAGGAGGTAGGAGGTAGGAGGGAGGATGGAGGATCGGATCGACCCGGCAGGAGGAGGCGTCAAGCTCCACAGCGCCGTCTGGGGTCCCTCCATGGTTGGAGGGACCGCAAGGATGGAACTGAAAGCTCAAAATCGGTTGTGGCCGTACTTGTACCCCGCCGTGCCCGGCGGACAAAAAGCACCCAGGCTCCAACCGTCCACCGTTGGCAGTGGGCTCATGTGAGCCCCCCGTAGAGAAAATGCCGTCTGGTGATGTGTCAGTTTGCTCATTGGCATTTGCGGCGACCCGTGGCCGAAAAATGAAAAGCCTTGTAGGCGTTCCATTGACTCCTCCTCCCCCCATCACCTCGTCTCCTTATCTTTGCCGTGAGCGCCTTCACTTAAACGTGGGGGTGTTGAGGGGGAGCTCTGCGGGGGAGGGCCTTCAAACAGAGATCCCGCTTGTGCGAAGAGGAGTTGGAGGGGAGGTCGATGAACAGAAGAGGCAGGAGTGTCTTGCGAGCTCACGTGAAGGGGGCGCGATGTGCCCACTTCCTGATACAAAGAATGCCACTACGGCGGCTCAAGGTTCGAGCCCTTGTTCGTTCAGCTGCTGAAGCATCCTCGATTCAAAGCATTACCTGCTTGAGCATTTGGCAGTGGCGGCTGCAGCAGGTGTCGAGATAGAGCTCGGAGGTGAGTCGATGACCCTCGATCAGGGACCCGTCCCCAGCAAACGAGGAGGCCGGTGCCGAGGGAGAGCTCGGGGGTGAACTGAGGGCCCTTGGTCAGGGACCTGCTGCCAGCAGGAAAGCGCAGGAGGTTACACTCTAATCTTGATAGTGCCATTGGCGATTGCCCTCGACTTTCAACTTTCCTTCCACCCCAGTCCTATTCCGTTAGTCAATTTAACGCAGTCTGCCTGGGCACTGCGGCAATCGCGATTGCAGCAGGTGCCGAGGGAGAGCTCGATGGTGAGTCGAGGACCCTCGATCAGAGACCTACTGCCAGTAAAAGGGAGGCAAGGATACGACATTCAGTTTCTGCAGACACCGCTATCAGGTGGCTGGCTTGATCAGAGACCTGCTGACAGCAAAAAAGGCGGAAGAGGTACATTAATTTTGGTCATGTCGTTGGCAGGCCCTCTACGCTGCGAGGGCCTTCCCCGAGAGCTCCTGGAAGGCAGCCCTTGCACTTAATGTGGGCTCTCGGTGTAGCCACCATGAACATTGAAATGAAGACTGTCCTCAAACCACACCCCTCAAACTCCCTCCACGTCCCCAACTCAGTCCCCACGTCACCCCCTTCTGTTTCTGATGAGCATGCTTGGCAAACATGGCTGGGAATGTCTCGGCGCGCCCCTAAAAGCAGTCGCGCCGCTGCTCCGCATCCTCAGCCGTCGTGCACTCTCCGAGCCAGCATTCCTCGCAGACGAAGCCTCTGCCCTTGGCGCACACATTTGTTGCTCTCCAGACTCCGTTGAAAACCACCTGCGCTGCATGCTGCACAGGTCGGTGTCCCTTCTGGCACCTTCCTGCATACATTGCAATGAAACTTGCCTGAGCCATTTTGGTCCGCGTAGGACGTCGCTCCGCTGGACCACCCAGCAGCCCTGTTCTAGATACCCGCCACCTTCGTTTGAGACATGCGCTGCACATCGGTGGCGCGACAGGGGAACAATAAACTCCCAGTCCTTTAAATCTTTGCGGGGACTTGGACTTGAGACTGAGTCCGTGGCAATGGCCTGCGCCTTTGCTGATAGCTACTCCTGTGCGACCGAGTCCTCTGTCTGACTTCGGGTATCCTGATCAAACTGCTTCGGAGGAGTTGCAAGCTTAGCCTCGACTAGCTTCTTCATTGCTGAGTTGGGCACTTCAGGCACGATGAGCAGATAACTTTCATCTCCTTGTGGTCAGCCTTGTCGAGTGCCCTTGAAGGTGAGAGAGAGAGAGAGCCTGGCAGCACCTGGAAGCAAACGCCACCCCTGTATGTGCGCTTCTTCTAACAAAGCCAGATCGTGACTGATCCAGGTCTAGATCAGGGGAGTGTTGGGAGGGGAGGTGCCGTAACCTCTGCTCTAGCTCGATCACCGCTGTTGGCGATACCCCTGCTCTGATGATCAGCTGAGATATGTCATGACAATCAAGATGTGCGAGTGTGTGTGTGTGTGTGCACGGTGAGCTTTCGGATAGAAGGCAGCCACCACGTCGACAACTAGCTGAGCCGATGTTATTCCCTTCCTGTCTACTGCCTCATTCCTGAGGTGTCTCGTAACTGACCGGAACAACCTGGCTGACAGCATTGCAAGTGGCGCGCCTCTGCCTGGCAAGGAGCAGTATTGGCTAGATCCTGCAACCTTCATCATGGATGCTACCAGCTTCTGCCTCAAAAAAACATGGTACCTCTTGGATGAATGACTCTCCCTCAACGCAGACCTTGATGACGAGCAGGCGCTGGAAATGACTCCCTTGGGAATCTGCTGTATGGGCCCGCCTTTCTACTGCAACGGCTCGCAGCAGAGCATACCAGACTTGAAACCTAACGGAACGTAAATCAGTGCCAATGTTTTTGAACGATTTCTGGTGACATCTCCTGACTGTCCATCTAAGCCCCAGTTTGCGCCAAGTTCCGTTCGTGCGCGATTGGGCAGCGTAAGTTTTTGATCTCTCACTGGCATAAGATCTGCAAGCAAGTGCTCAGCCGTCTGTGGTGTGATGGTGCTGCGTGCTCTTGCATTGCAACAAAAATCCATCCACGCCTCGTGCGCTGCCATTGGGGTGTCCGCCATCCGTTCATTAGCACAATCTACTGCCCGGTAAAGTGCATGCCTGACCTTCTTGCCTCCACAGCCTCATGTCTCTAATGGTCGAGTAGGCCGCTGCGAAGTGTCTGCCGTGATAATCTCTCTCCAGCTTACGTGCCATGTCGTGCAGGTGCTGCCCAGCATCTGCCGGCGTCAATAGTTGTCGATACCAAGCATAATGAGTTCAAGCTGTGATAAAAAAGAGATGTGAATCGTTCTTGCAACATCATGAGAGTGCTCTAGATCCACAGCTCCTCTCCTGGCTCGCCTGCAAGGAACCTTCCAGCCTCAAAACATTTCACAAACGCAACCTCTGAGCACAAGGGATTCCTGCTCGGATGCAATGCTGCCTCGTACACATTCGATCGACACTTTGCCGACTAGCGTGCTACCTGTTGTAAGTCGCTCTTGATATTGAAGATCATGATGCAAGCTGTGATCGTGCGAACTGGAGATATGTACCCGCGCTTGTGCACGTAGCTGCTCGCTGGCCTCAGCTGCTGTGCCACTCGTTGCCACGCCAGCATGTACATGTACATCCAAAGTTTGCCCATCTCAATGTGTGTGAGGGTCATCCTTCGCCGCGACTTAGCCTTGCCACGATAATGGTCGTTTGTGACCTCCGAAACCCAACCTTGGCAGGACGAGGGAGGGGCTACCAGACTATCTTGAATGACCTTCAAGACATGGTCATTCACAATCTGGCAACGTTTTGCGGGGAATGTCCCATGAGGGACGAGGGAGGTCCTGGTTGAGCTTTCGGTGGGCAGTGTCTAGTACCTGTGGATTACCAAGCAGATGCGGGCAGATCGTTCGTCTTTTTGGGGGCAAGAAGAAGGCGTTTCTAAATATGGTGCTGACAGAGAGACTACTACAGCTTCGTGCTCCTGTTGCCATTGAGCCGCCGCATCGATGGATAGATCTACACCTGCCCAGCTTACTGAATCCAAATACCATTGGGGTTCGCAAACATGGTCCGACCGTTTGGTTGGCTTGGTTGCATCTGGCGCCGCCCGGGTGGCCTGGATGCAGTGCTCCTTGGAAACCGTAGCAGAGATGCAAAGGTGGGCCTTAACGAGGAACGCATGGAACTTTGGACCATTTGGACTTTCTTCTTCATCCCCCATCGGTCCTACTCTTTTCGACGTCCTGGAACCCTTTGTAGCGTAGGCGTCGCAGAGCACGATTTGGGGAAAGCATCCATCTACGAGTGCTTGGCGTACAAGCTGTCTGTATCCTCCCACAACGTGGAGATCTCTGCCGGCGGCCTTCGACCGTGAGGAGCACGCAGACAACAAGTTCAGAACTTGTGGCTCTGCGTCTGGATAGTCGCAAACATCCTTGCCGGCGAGGCGGCTAGCGTAGCGTCATTGATACCTGCATATTGGCGAACTGACGCTTGAAAGGAGTGAGAACATCGATCTGTATCCAAAGTGTGCATCCGTGGGTACGCATAGACGTGCTTGGGGAATGACAACGGAGAGCGGGCCCACATTGGTTTGTGATTTCGTGCTCTTGTCGTCTCTGCCATTCCTTTGATTCGGTAGCAAGCCCGTGGAAATTGATCGGCTAACATACTTATGTGGCCTCGAGTGTGCAACCGTTCCTAAAGTCCTCTGGCCTCAGGGTGAGAACGTTGAGGAGCGCTGCCCTGACTACAGCAAGGGGCTGATGCTTTCTTTCTAGTCGTTGACATCATGTCGATGAAAATGCTGCCTGCCGTTGCTGACAAGGGAGGAGAGGGGGTAGAGGGAGACCTGACGACAAGCTCCTGTTGGCGTAGTGGAGGGAACTGGGAACGAGAGGCGGGGTTCAGGACTTCCATCTATGCCCAGTGCGATGACGATTCTGCTGGATTGCAAATCCTAGTAGATCTTCATCTGGGCAAGCCATGCTCAGATCTGCTAATATTGCAAGCGTACCAGCTATCTCATTCAAGGGGTGACCTTGATCGCTGTGACATGCTCGTACTGTATGCTGCGCGCCATGCGCGAATGTGCAAGCAGCCACGACATGCTCGTATTACTCGTGCACAACCAAGAACACCACTGTCGGGATTCATAAGGGTATGTGCAGCATGCAACATATCAGTCGAGTCTGCCCACAGAGCGAGATTAGCTACGGAGCTCTGCAAGGCCCATAACGTGGTCCATGACAAAGCGCAGGGTTCGGTGTAGAAGTTGGTCTTATCCTTAGGAAGCGCTGCCCGCACCTCCTCAGAGACTGCTTCCGACTAAACACCTATGATCGAGAGCGAGCGATACACCCTTTCTCCAACCAGCGCAACTGTCCATGCTGGCGAAATTTTGTCGTCCTGGCTCTCGGTGCCGCCCGTCTGTGTAGATGTGCGTTGTCGAGAAGTCTGCCTGCTCAAAAGCATCAGCCTCAGTGACCTTAGGACGGTATTCTGCTTCATCCTGCGCCCAGAAACGGCTCTAGGTGTGAGCTGGAATGCGGCACCTTCCAGCTCCATGGCTTCTGACACCTTGTCTCGTCAGGTCAGGAATGGGAGCAGAAGGACGCTGGGTGGTCACCTTAGCTTGCTGAGAAGGGGGGGGAACCTTAAGGAGGTCGATGAGGCAGGATCCCGATCTCGCGCGATCTGCCAGCGCGTGATCGGACATCCGCTGGGCGTCGCGGGTTCCTGTCTTTGTGCTGGCGTGGCCTGGGCTAAGACGGCAACGGTTTGGCGGAGGCATGGCTCCCCGTCCCCTCCTCCTCCTCCTCCTCCTCCTCCTCCTCCTCCTCCTCCTCCTCCTCCTCCTCCTCCTCCTCCTCCTCCTCCCCTCCCCTCCTCCTCCTCCTCCTCCTCCTCCTCCTCCTCCTCCTCCTCCTCCTCCTCCTCCTCCCCCTCCTCCTCCTCTCCTCCTCCTCCTTCCTCCTCCTCCTCCTCCTCCTCCTCCTCCTCCTCCTCCCTCCTCCTCCTCCCCCTCCCCCCTCCCCCTCCCCCTCCCCTCCCTCCTCTATCCCCCCCTCCCCTCCTCTCCTCCTCCTCCTCCTCCCCCTCCCCCTCCCCCTCCTCTTCTTCTTCTTCCTCCTCCTCCTTCTCCTCCTCCC